CAACTTTTACGTGTCCCCACACTAATTTACAATCGTGCAACGGAGTGGTTTAATATGCAATGCTGGAAGATTCCCACATCACAAAATAGGTACATACCTTCATCACAAAATGTCCGCCTGCCACATATCCACCCTGACCGATTGACCGCCCACAGCCAGTGTAGTAATTCTGCGCTGTGGTGTGGATTGTCGTCTTCTATAGATGTCCACAAATCCGACCTTTTCACGTATCCACCGATACCTCAGTCCCCAGTGAATTGGATCAGCGACGTTATGCTGTAATCGTGTACAAATATGATGTAAAATAAACTAAACTTTTTTTTTGTATTTTACCGGGTAAGACCCACTGAGCTATGTAGCTATATTTCAGAAATTATAGCTCAACAAAGTGGCTTATCATGTGGAAATTTATGGCAGCCAAATACCCAAAAAGCACGTTAATTCTAAATGTGGAGGGACAAACCAGAGGACCCGGAAAAAAAACCATGCGACCACGGGGAGATAGACACACAGACAGCAGGCATCAGGGTCGAGATGGAACCCACCACCTCCTGTATAATAATCTACTTGTGTAATGACAGTGCGGAGCGATAGCGGGACAGTATGGTTCCCCGGGACCATAGTAACTAATGGACGAGCTAATGATTATTAATGAGACAAGCATTGACAGGGTAACGTGAGGGGGAGCACGGGATCCAATGGCAGGAAAGTGTAATAATGGCGGTGATCGGCAGGGCCAGGTGCGGTGAGGAGAATTCGGGAATAAGGGCGTGGCCGGACCGGGCGAGGATAAGTAGCAGCACGAGCGGAGGCTTGGGGCTGCTTGGTGTGGGGAACTGCCGTCGTCGTCGCCTTGGATCGGGTCGTCTCCATCGTCTGCGAGTTGTCCTGAGATTGGAAGCTATGTTGTCTCAGAATAGAGTTGCGTCACTACCCAAGTGTACAGAGTCACTCGCGGTTACATGTTGAGTTGTCATTGGACTTTATTCTTAATAAATATACAGAAGACAAGACGGCGTCTCTGAGAGCTACGTTACAGTGGTGTCAGAAGTGGCTATTGTAAAATGCCGAAGAAGGTAAATAGTAAGAACCAACCTGTAGCATCTTCATATTGAGTTTCCCCAGCTGCCCCTGGAGCCGGGAGCCTGGTAACGAAGCCCGAGTGTGCAAAGGATACGGCACCTGCGTCAGAGCAGTGGCGAGCCCTGATGGCGGAGGCGGATCGGCTCCGGTTGACCGTCGCTGATTTGACATCGAAGAAGAGAGTGGCGACTTCGGGAGCCGACGCAACCGGGGACGAGCCGCAAACTCGGGCATGGATGGGGGAGTGTCCGCCTGCGATCGGGGTTCCCGCGCTGGAGACCATTTTGCGGGTGGAGACACGGCCAATGGCCGCCATTTCGAAGCCTGTGCGGGAGGCTACAGTGGCGGTGTGATCTCGGATGGCGGAGCGGGAAGCCGTCAAGCAACCACGACGGTTGCCATTAATTAAAGAATTTACAGCGGCGGGTGAAGACGGAGTGCCTTCACCCACCAGTTTGGAGCAGCGTACCAGTCTGTCAGCTGGACAGAGGAAGAGGTGCTGGCTGCTTTGCCATCCCTGAGGAGAAGAGGTCCATGCTTCAGGAGGCCTACAAGGAGATGTCGGCTGTATACAACCCGCCGAGGGGTGCCCGCAAGCAGGTGAGGCCCTACAAGGACGGACTTGGGGGGCTGCATGAAGCAGATGATCCCGACTTGGAGAAGGAAGGACTGGCCGACAGCCCGGAAGGCAAGACCCTCCATGGCATGTCTTGAACAGTGGGCTGTGTGCTTACATTGCTCAGGGAGTAGTGGTCCTGTCGTGCTGTGGCAGACGGTTTGACCTGATGGGCCGGAGGTCGAGACCCTCCCTGCACATCTGGCGCAGTGAGGTGTGGGCATTGTGGCTGGGAGTAGTGGTCCCATCAGGTTACGGCAGATGGCTTGACCTGATGGCCCGGAGGTCGAGACCCTCCGTGGCGCATCTGGAGCAGTAGGCCCGATCTGATAGCCCGGAGGTTGAGACCCTCTGTGGCGCGTCTGGAACGGTGGGCCAGATGCTCGCAGAGATTGGGGATAGTGGTCCCATTACGTTGTACCGAACGGTGAGACTTGGGTGGCAGGAGACGGGGGTCCTCCTTGGGCTGTCTTGAAGCGAAAAGGGCCGCAGACTCGTACCGCGATGGGTGCTAACGCTGTTCAGTAGGGGAACCATTCCTGCAGATCCTTTTCGGGTTTATGGAAATTGCGGGGGTTCAGGCGAAAGGAATATTGCGGAGGGAGTTTAGCGGAATGCGACAGGTTCGGGCCGAGTGCTGAGACGAGAGTGAGGACACATGCTGGAAAGTGTGGAAGGGGAGTTGTGGCAGTAACCCTAAGTTCGGGGTGCATGTTGTTGAGTACGACTCCTGTTGAGGGAAGGGTGGCCGTGGAAATTCGCTGATAAGGATTTTGGAGGGGGTCCAGCATCAGGAAGATTGTCAATCTGTGTGATGTGTCGGAGTGTGTTAGTCAGAAGAGGTGTAGTACGGGATAGAGCATGGCTAAATCGGTTGCGAAGCGCCATTGCTTTGGTCCCCGAAATTTGCACTGGCCAGGTATATGGCCGGTGGGGAGAGTCGTTGAAATTGGACGGCCACGGTGCAGGCAAGTGTGAGTGTGATGTTGCCGCTGAGTCGCCGTTAATCGCGCTTGGTGCCGTTTGTTGTTTTAGTCCTGCATCATTCATCCCCATTGTTGTGTAGTCGGGGTCTGGGGTGTCGGACGGGCCGGGCTGGTGGGCTGGAGTAATCGAATGCCGAGGGATGTCTGTTGTTCCACCCCCAGTTGTGGATCCCTGGCGTCAGAAGTAGCCGAAGACCTCAAACCCCCCCGCCCCCCCCCCCCCCCGGCTTGAGTGCAAGCCTTCTTGGCCTTTTGTTGGCCACAAAATCTGCCCGAAGAAAAGGACCGATGTCAAGAGCTGGACATTTCGTTGACGGAGCGCCGTGATATTGTTGGTTTCTTGTGTGTTGCATTGTGTTTGTGGGTGTCCGTATGTTCAAAATGTCTATGGCTTGACGGAATGATCGTGGGGGTTGCTTGCGTGTGTTGTTCGGAGTTGGCGTTATTGTTGTGTTACGGATTTTGTTGCGGTGGTTCACATTGGTTTTCTAAAGTGTAGGTTGTTCCATCAACCCCTAAACAATTGTTACGCGTTGTGTTAAACGGTTTATTCGGCCTAAAAATAAATTGTTGAAATTGTGTTAGCGGAGGAAGGCAATTTTTTCAAGAGGGATGGGGGAGGAGGTGATGTAATGACAGTACGGAGCGATAGCGGGACAGTATTGTTCCCCGGGACCATGGTTACTAATGGACGAGCTAATGATGATTGATGGGACGAGCGTTGACAGGGTCACGTGAGGGGGAGCACGGGATCCAATGGCAGGAAAGTGTAATAATGGCGGTGATCGGCAGGGCCAGGTGCGGTGAGGAGAATTCGGGAATAAGGGCGTGGCCGGACCGGGCGAGGATAAGTAGCAGCACGAGCGGAGGCTTGGGGCTGCTTGGTGTGGGGAACTGCCGTCGTCGTCACCTTGGATCGGGTCGTCTCCATCGTCTTTGAGTTGTCCTGAGATTGGAAGCTATGTTGTCTCAGAATAGAGTTGCGTCACTACCCAAGTGTACAGAGTCACTCGCGGTTACGTGTTGAGTTGTCATTAGACTTTAATCTTGACTTGCTTTACTACCCGGCTTCGCCCGGGACTTGGATTCACCACGCCCAGCCGCCTTTGTCCCCCCAGTGGCGATCTTCACACACCACACCAGTTACTCGTTTGAGGCTCGGGGAGGCCCAGTAGTGGTTCAAATAATCGCCACCAGTGGTGGCCATGAGCGGGAATCGAACTCGGGTCGCCGGATTCGTAGCGCAGCGCGCGAATCGCTACGCAGACGCTGCCCCCCCCCCCCCACACAGGATAAAGACAAAGATCCCCCGTGTAGCCTGTGAGACTGTAGGGGGCAAGCGCTGTTAGCGAGCACCTATGAAGGCCGGCACGGCACACGAGAGGGTGGGTGGCCAGCACCACGCCTGGCCGCCTTTGTCCCCCCAGTGGTAATGTTCACACACCACACCAGTTACTCGTTTGATGCTGAGTCGACCTAGGGGAGGCCCAGCAGCGTTTAAAATCATCGTCACCGGTGGTGGCCTTGGGCGGGAATCGAACTCGGGTCGCCGGGTTCGTAGCGCAGCGCGCTAACCATAGGTACACATAACACGCGCTTGCTGCAGACACACACACAACTTTCAGGGTGCGTACAGCAGTAAACGACTGAAATAATAAAGCAATGCTGCGTGAAGAACGCCTTAGACCTGCAACACAATTGTATTTCACTTTACCCGCGATCAGCAAGCACACTCCGTTTCGCTTCCGCACACGGCTCACATGACAGATGTGACGTCACAGCTCACTTGCCGTGCAAAAAATATATGCATTATTGAGCCACCCCCCCAAAACAAATACAAAAGTGTATTTTTATAATTTTTGCATGGTGTACAGTCTGGAAAGTACCCACATGGCAAATTTCAAATTTGCTGCATGTCGGGAAGTACGCTAAACATTTTGAAAAGACACACATAATCACAAATTTCCCTTTTATATATAGAGAAGCAGATAAATATACAGAAGACAAGACAGTGTCTCTGAGAGCCGCATTACACATGTATTTTTAAGGTGTCTTCCACTAATATCTCATAGCAGGCGAGGTAGTTTAACATCTCGCCGCCGTAGCGAGATGTGAGCGTGTGCTACACGACACGCGCTCTCACGACGAGACCGCGGTGTGCCATGATTTTTGCTTTTGTGGTTCGCGTGGCATTTGTGGGGATCCCCACACCCCCCCCCCCCCCCCCGGCAGCTCTCTCTCTCTGCCGGGGGCGCTTCTCTCCCGGGCGCCGTGGTTCGAGGGCCGAGCGTGCGGGGTCCGGGCTCTCATTACAGGGCAGCTGAGCTGGTTCGGCTACGAGATGCCGCGCTGCTTCTGGGATTACGTCCGCATTGCGTGCCAGAGGGTGCCGCACAACTGCCTGGCGAGCGTGGAGAGTATGGAGCACGGCGGCGGCGGCAGGGCCAAGGTGGGACCTCTGACCTCTGACCCCGCCGCCACCCACCCACCCACCACCCCGCATGCCTTCACACAGGCCACCCTTGCGAATGAGGCTACTGCGTTCTGATCTCTTGCGTTCTCACCTGGTTCAAAAGAGGTAACGTTAACCAAACTTGACAAGTTTCCCTGGACACCTTGCGAGCGAGATGATGAGGGATAGACTTACGTGTGTTTGGTTTTCATTGGCAAGCCGGACAATACAATACGGTAACCATGAAAAGGGGGCCCGTGTATGATGTTAAAAGTTTAGGAAAAAATAAGTGCATGATCTTGAAGAGTGACATGGCATCGTCACGCTAAGAGAAATCGTGATATAGACGTGCGGTAATGGGCATAGATGCAGGTGCATTGATTGCGGATACAATTATCTTTTAAATGCAGGGATTAGCTTTTCACGCGTGTCCTGCTTAGCTCTGCTTGAGAAAGAATACAAAGCCTTAATTATATTGTATTTAATGAGGCCCTGCTCGCAAGTGGAGCATTCTATGTGGATAGATTATCGCAGGAATGTGAACTGCATGTAATTGCAAAAGATTATTGTTCAATTACGATAAACATAGCGGCACAAGCCAATTTGTTTGTTGCTTCATGACATTAAATGAAAGATATGTCAAGAAGCCTGCATGTGACCTTTGGTGGCGATACGGATGTACGGGGGGGGGGGGGGGGGTGGTGATGGCAGGAGCCGTGTGTGGTCACACACTCAATACGTCCTTAAAATTCGGAGAAACGGTGGCTCCCAACCGCATGCTCGCCCTTCAACTTGGACACGGCAAATTTTCGGTAATCTGCGTAGGCCCACAGAAATAAATGATAATTGCAACAACAACAAAACATCTTTGCCCATTAAAGGAGACTTCCCGCCACTCCCACCTCCGCTGCGACTCGATATTTCTCTTATTTATTTCAAATGTTGAGTCTCCACGCAATAGGAGTACTTGGCTCACCGGTGTACAAATAGCGGAGAAAATATCTTGAACGGTTATTATTGTGAGGAGAATGTGCACTCACACACTCCCGCGCACACACCGTCACATAAAAATTATTCTAAAAAGTGACCTTAAACACAAAAGAAATTATTTTGCAAACGATGATTATTACATCGATATATAATTAGTCTAATTTATTTACAAATTAGCCCAGTTTCCTGTATTTTATTTTCCAAATTCCATGAAATAAAAATGTAACTGTATTAAAACTTACACACTCTTAGGTTCTTCCGGTAAAGTCACGTAGGTATAAAATAAATCACGACGTTTTGGGCACAACACAAGCGTCCATCATCAGGTGGGAAAGCATGGTCTGCTACTGAGGCAGACTTTTTAAATGTTTGAAATGGGTGTAGCTCAAGGGTTATAAAGAAGTGGCCGGGGCTAGTGATGTTAATGTGAGAAATGTGTGTGTTGCACCCGAAACGTTGTGATTTATTTTATTTTATACCTACGTGACTTTACCGAAAGAACCAAAGAGTATGGATTCCTGCAGTCACGAAAGCTTTAAATCAAGATTAAAACTTACACAATTATAATGTTAAGTTGGAGTGATATTTTAAGAGGCGAGTCTGGAATCTGAGAATTCGTCATAGGCGTCTATGGCGTCGAGACAGCATTGTTAGCAGCATCCTAATTCTAGATTTAAGCATCCTAATTGGCAGTTTGTGCTGTGGACCGGTGCCCAAAGCCAGCAGCATAATATGTGAAGGCACGAATTACCACGAATTAACAGCCAGATCACATTTCAACTACGGTGCAAATGCAATATTATGCCAGGGTTTCCTCATGAACCCACATGGTTTACCAGTCTACTGTGTTCAAATACAAAGTGAGTTGTTACTCTGCACACGCCTGCCAATTGTTGCATAGCTCACATCACATAAAGGCAGAGCAGTTTGATACATGGCAACAGTGCTTTTGAATTACTCTTTATATGTACAGCATTGTTGGATGCTATCAGCATGACTTACGCCATATAAAACGAAATTATTAAATTTCGATTTAAAGCTTTCGTGACTGCAATGATTCATCTTCTTTGGTTCTTTCGGTAAAGTCACGAAGAATGAGAATAAAATAATAAATTGATAAAATAACACAATAATATTCTCACGACGTTTCGGCCACAATATCAGCGGCCTTCATCAGGTGAAGGGACGAGACTGTCTGGAGGACAGCGCTGTCCTACCAGACAGTCTCGTCCCTTCACCTGATGAAGGCCGCTTGTGTTGTGGCCGAAATGTCGTGAGAATATTATTGTGTTATTTTATCAATTTATTATTTTATTCTCATTCTACGTGACTTTACCGAAAGAACCAAAGAAAACGAAATTATTATTATTATTAAATTCAACTGCATCTTGACAAACTGTTACGTAGCCAACTCATCTAGGTTATTTCACGTAACTTAATTTTCCTTTCCAAGCTCAATACATAGGGATGTAACTCCACCCATTTCTGTCTTTGGCAGAATTCGGTGCTATGCCAACACATTCTTGTCATCTTTCGAATAATTGACCGTATTCTCTGCGTGAGGCAGTGTGAGCTTTTGTTCAGGATAAATGCCACACTCTGTGAGTGCCTGTGCTGTGCGTGGTAGCTGAACCATCTTCTTTGATCTTCATTCCCTAATGAAATGCTGGAATTGCTCTTTGTTGACACGGTAGAGCACCTGCACACGTTAATAACCTAATCCAGTTCTGTCAGTCGAGCTCTAACTCCTTGTCACTGCCTGCAATTTCACGCCTTACGAAAGGCAACAAATCGTTCTTACCTTTATTAGAGAAGACTTTTTACCATAATTATTGAATCATCATCATTTTTGTCATCAACAAAAGCATTGGCATAATTGTTATCATTCTTGGTCATCATCATCCTCAATATGAGCATCACAGTCATCATCATCATTTTTGTCATCATAATTATCATCGTCATCATTCTAAATCCACTGCACGAGAAAAACCTCAATGTTGAATATACCATGCACCACCGTCTTGCGCAGCTATACAGCTGGGATTAAATATTGCTCTCAAAAACGCCCTGGTTCGATTTCTTTCTGTTGATAATTGATTTTATTCCACTGACTCTTTGGTTTTTTCGGTAAAGTCACGTATACATAAGAAATAATAAAATAACATAGTAGCGTACGACGTTTCGGTTGCAACACAAGCAGCCATCATCAGGTACAGAAGAGCTAAATTTAGGAGAGAGGGGAAACACATATCCTCAGATGTATATACAGACACCCAAGTAGGGAGAACTGACACAGACACAACAGGGGACAGAGAGAGAGAAGCATACCAGACAAACAGGGTTTGGCAAAAATTTTGGAACCATATAAAGCAACACAGACGGTCGGTCAAAACACAATTAACGCAGAGTCCGGTTGATCACGTTATTTCAAAGATTGCTAAATTGAAAGTTACGTATGAAACTCAAAATACAGACCGCACACACACACACCGACATCCAAGAAGAGCGAACCAGCACAGAGACAAGCACACAGTAAAGTCACTTTAAATAGGCAGCGAAGGTAAGGCTGAGAGACAATGGAACAAAATTAGCATGAGGTATGCATGGAGCAGAGTGGGGGGCGGCAGCACACAATGGGACAAATCAGTATGAGGTAGTGGGGATCGGCAGCACCGACTCGGAAGCAACAAGGCCCATACACAGGCAGAGACAGCACAGAGACACAAATCCAAGCGAAGACACAAAGGCAGATACACAAGCAGAGACAACACAAGGACAAAAACCTCTTACCTCCCCGGAGAGGTGGTTCAGACTTGATTTGAAGCTTTCGTGACTGCAGGAATTACTCTTTGTTTTTTTCGGTAAAGTCACGTATAAATAAGAAATAATAAAATAACATAGTAGCGTCGTCACGTTATTTCAAAGATTGTCTGGCGAGATGGTTAGGACACAAAAACAACATTTAAATTATATATTAGTGATGGATGCCATCAGGGGCAGAGCCAGGGGGGGGTGACAGGGGTGACATTCTGCGTATAAGTGTACGACACTCGGTCTGGCGGACTCCGTGCAACTGCATTGTCAGAGCGTGTCGCCAACCGATGGCGTCAGTTCAACAGCCTGACTCTCTAATCATTCTTTAAATTAAAATTTGTTGAATGTCACCCCGGCCTGAATTCCTGGCTTCGCCCCTGGATGCCATAATCTTTTTTATAAAACACAGGTTCTGTTCCTCTGCCTACTCAGCAGTTAGTAATGGACATCCTTACCTTTCTCAAAGTTACAAATATAACAACTGGTGCCATTGAATTATAAAAGTTGCTTTGCGGATTGCGTTAGTTGAATAGTTTGTAGTTATCCATAATATAGGGTTTTTTGTAGTTAGTAGGTCCTCGACCAGAATGCACCATTGGGCCTAGACAGTAGACCATAATCAAGCAGAAATTAAAACGGGAAAGTTGGAGAAGGGAACACCGCCCCACTCAGGAAATAAGAATAGCATTCAGATCTGATAAATAGTCTAAGAGCATCCCCAACTATTAGGGGTGAGAATTAGGAATTCCAACATGCGATGCTGGAAGCAAGAATAGTTTTGGTTGGCAGCGCCAGTGTTTGGTGCACCCTCCCCCTCCCTTCCCCATCTCCTTCCCTACCCTATTGCCCTCCGACTACCCCCTTTCAACCTCCATAATGCCCTGGGGTTAGAAGCTTCCTATCCCTGCCCCAGCCTATTTATAATTTACTTCCTTAAATGTTAATGTATTCAATCATCCAATCAAGAGAGAGAACACCGGGACACTTAAACAAACTAAAAACTGAAATTGCTTTTCTAAAAGAAAGCAAATTAACTTTAACTGACTCAATTAAACAACAACATCTCAAAGTAGAGGTGTTGTAATATTGATCCACAAAAAAATACCATTCACACCCTCCGAACAAATAGCAGACCCGGAAGTTAGATACATAATAGAGCAATGGCAAAATATAAGACACCCTTTTGACATTCTGCGACGACTATTACCCACCTCCAGCTAACACATCTGTAGTGAGTCCAACTTAGTCGCAGACGTTGTGTTGGGAGCAACACGTTTTATTCAACTCTTAGCACAACGTACTCCAGGCTATTAACACAACATACTCCAGGATATTAACACAACATGCTCCAGGTTATTAACACAACATACTCCAGGTTATTAACACAAGACACTCCAGGCTATTAACACAACATACTCCAGGCTATTAACACAACATACTCCAGGCTATTAACACAACATACTCCAGGCTATTAACACAACATACTCTCGGGTGGTGACCACCTAACTAACCACGCTACGGCAGAACTAGACACGGTTACACTATCCCGGTCCGGACCACAAGCTGGGTCCCAGACCGCGTGACTGGAGGCTTCTTCAAGCTTGACGTGGATCTCCTGCCTCTCCAACAGTAAGAACCCCGAGCCTCTCACAGCCCCCCCCCCCCCCTTATATCGGGCCGGGCTGGGGCTGGCTCCGCCTCTCACCCCGCCCACCTTCTCGATCTCTCTCGGCCTTGCCTGAAGGCTCTCGAGAGTTCTTCCCGGACCACCCATTAGCCCCCTCCACTGGTGGCCCCCCTCCAGTATCATCCGGTGACATGTCCCCAGGTAAGCCAGAGTATCATGCCCCCAACGTAACCCCAGCTGGCTGACACTCCCTCGCTCTCAACGGGAGCCCGCACCACATGCTGTGCGTGGTGCCACCGCGCTTAACCAGCGCTCACCCAAGCCCCCACTAGGGCTGATACTACACCCCGTGTCCGGGGTGTACACACAACAGTATACAGTACATCCCACCGTGGCCTCACAAGCCTGGCACCACATAGTGACATTCCCAGTCATTACACATTCACCATAAAAATGGTCATAAAGCACCTACATTCAAACTCTCATGATGATGTCATAATAGAGGGGGACTGGAACCTGACTTGCAACCCCCGAATAGACAAAACTCCCCCTCCACCTAAAGAGAAAAAGGACAGCAAAAGAGAAGCCCTCCTTAGCTATTATTGTCACGACTCTCTCTCTCATAGACCCTTGGCATACAACACATACCCTTGAAAAGAACTACATGCACATACCCCAAGCCCACAAATCGCTATCCAGAATTTACTTCTTTCTGATAACCAGAAAACGGCTCCTGCAAATGACAGAGCCCAATGCAACGCAAGACAAGAAAAACAGTGACAGATTTCAGATGACATTAGAGAATACTGGGATCGAAACTCCACAACCAAAATAGAGCTGACCACAGGTACTTTATGGGACGCCTTAAATGCAGTCATCAGAGGCAGATTTATTACACTAGGTGCTTTATACAGCAAGGAGTAGAAACACCTCTCTACTGCACCTTGAATAGGAGGGGCACATAAGACACTAATGACCTCTTATTCGAATGAAGTAATATCAGAAATACATCAACTCAGGCGAACACTAGATAAATTACTACATGACAAAACTACTACTCTTCTCCACAAATCGACCTGGAAGTTTACTGTCCCATCTTTCAACACAGGGAAGGACGAGCCCAAATAAATCACATACCCCCCCATTAAATCCTCAAATGGTAAATTATGGCCGAATTGTCTCCAGGTCCTCCAGTTTTTCCCTCCATATTTAGAAATATGGCTGGCTATGGATTGATCTGGAGACATTTAGAAACGTTTAGAGTTTTTGGCTGCTATAAATTTCCACGTGATAAGCCACTTCGTTGAGCTATCACCTGTGGCCAGGTCGCTTCTAAAAAGTCACTATATATAGCTCAGTGGACCTTGCCTGGTAAAATAAAAAAAATAGTTTAGTTTTATGTAAAACGGCATTATTTTATTGTGTGTCTTATAGTCAAATAATAAAAATAACAATATATCTTTTCAGCTCTTTTATTCAGACCACTGCTGGACGAAGCTTCCCTAGGTCACGTAAGTCACGGGAATTGTTTGACCTCACTTCACCCAGGGTCGAGCCTGGATCCGAATGACCCTGATGGAGAAGCGCCTGGGCGAGTACATCTCCTCCGCCCTGCGCGACGTCAAGACCACGCGGTACGGCCAGTCTCTCCACACACACCCGCTCATTAAATACAGCCCTTGCTCCCGGTGACCCCCCAACAGGAGGTATGACCCCCCAACAGGAGGTATGACCTCCTGGTGTGGGGTCGCACCTGTCGGGTTGGATATCAAATCATTGGTACATTAGGTATTCTGGCAATTTATTCTAGCGAGGCAAGGCTATCGCGAAAGTGCAGTGTTTGAGAGACTGTTATCGCCCGCGGTGGTTTCAAAACAGGGAGCGATATTGCTGCGGGGCTTTATCCAATTGGGTAATTTATTAGTCGTTTTGAAATCTGGCAAATTTTGGACGGTGATGCCGGCACCCTTGATCATCGCTTTTTCGTTTAATGTCACCACATCTTTTGAAGGTCTGCTGTGAAACAGCTGATGTAAATGTTGACTCATACACCCATCGTATAAATAGTAGTAACAATAAATAACTTGCAATGTGCGGAATCTCTCCAATGGACAAACATTTGAAAGCGACTCTAATTAACCAGGGCGGCCTGATGGGTTCAAACCTCTGCAAACAAAGTGGGAAATACGCTACTGCTCAGCCATGTCAGCACCCTAAATAAACTAAAAACTATTTAAACTAAACTATTTTTATTTTACCAGGTAAGGCCCATTGTGCTATATAGCTATTTTTTAGAAGCGACCTGGGCAACAGAGTGGCTTATCATGTTTAAATTTATAGCAGCTGCAGTGAGGGAAAAAAGTATTTGATCCCCTGCTGATTTTGTACGTTTGCCCACTGACAAAGAAATGATCAGTCTATAGGTAGGTTTATTTGAACAGTGAGAGACAGAATAACAACAAAAAAATCCAGAAAAAACATTGTCAAAAATGTTATAAATTGATTTGCATTTTAATGAGGGAAATAAGTATTTGACCCCCTCTCAATCAGAAAGATTTGTCAGTGGGCAAACGTACAAAATCAGCAGGGGAACAAATACTTTTTTCCCTCACTAAACACATGATTCTAAATGTGGAGGGGAAAAACCGGAGCATCTGGAGAAAAATCCACGCAACCATGGGCAGAGAGACACGCAAGCGTAAGGGTTGGGATCAAACCCTCGACCTCCTTCCATACCAGGCAAGGTAGTTAACATCTCGCCAATGAAGGGTTTAATCGAATTTAAGCATAGATCTTTTTTTATGAAATGCGGGTGTTCATTGAATGTTGGACGTCCTCGTGAATTACTGGTGCTCCAGACTTGTGCGGTCACCTCCATGAGAAATTGGGGAGGTGGATGGCGGTGGCTTTGGGGATAAAACTTAGACTGGCGAAGAGAACAGGGAAGGAGGGACGTCCAGCCAAGTTGAATTTTCCCCTCGACCATTTCCACGGTGTTGGCTTGATCCTCGGCTTAAAAAAAAACGCGTTATGAGGCGGCGTTCAAAAATAATTGTGCGTGACAGCGGAACGCTTACATTGAAGACATCCGAACGTATCGCCAGCGCATGGGTACGTCGGCGCGGTGATCACAAAGAGAATCGGCACAGCGTCCACTTCAAACAATTCAGGAGGTTGTTCTGATCCGCACCTTGTTCTAAATTATTGAAACTTTTTTTACATCACCAGGTAAGGCGCACTGAGCTACTGCATTTAGCTCTTTTTGCAGAAGTGACCTGGCCACAAATAATACGCTCAACGAAGTGGCTTGTTGCGTGTAAATTTATAGCAGCCCAAATCCTCTAAACGCACATTGTTTCTAAATGTGGAGGGAAAAACTGGAAGACCTGGAAAAAATTCCATTCAACTACGGGGACAGAGAGACATGCAAATTCCAAATATACAGCCGTCAGGGTCGGGACCGAACCCACGACCTCCTGTAACACCAGGCGAGGTAGTTAACATCTGGCCGCCATCACAAGAATTGTTGACTATCCGAAAGCATGCGACAGTTCGGTTCACAATGTTGAGACGGCCGTGCACAACTTGTCGTGCTCAATCTGCTCAACTTGTAATTTTGTCTTGGTAATTTATTTTCCTTTGTTTAGACATGTATACGTACTTTCCCCTGGTGGTTAAATTTCGATTTAAAGCTTTCGTGACTGCAATGATTCATCTAGACAGTCTCGTCCCTTCACCTGATGAAGGCCGCTTGTGTTGTGGCCGAAACGTCATGAGAATATTATTGTGTTATTTTATTTTATCAATTTATTATTTTATTCTCATTCTACGTGGTGACTTTACCGAAAGAACCAAAGAAGATTTCCCCTGGTGCTTAGATGCTATATCAATTCAACACATTATTCTTGTTTTGCCGTGGTGGTACTGACGTCTCAGGTGAAAGCTTCAAGGAGGAAGCCGTAGGACGCGTGCGCCGTTACCTCCTGCGTGTGTTGTAGCTGTGCAAAGGAAAGTGAGCAGCTGTTTGTAATGAATCACGACAATCTGCCTCCTCGGAGATGTTTGGTCGATGACCTCCCCGCTAAGTGGGGGGGGGGGGGGTCCCTATGATGTGTCCTAACTAAACCACATACTTCAGACAAATCCTGAATTAAACATGAATAATGTACGCGTGCAAACATGCCGCAATTAAAAACTGGGGGAAAAAATACGTATCGTGCAAATGCGCGACCTCTGTAAAGCTTTCCAACGTGTGTAAGTGAGATCCTAGAAGTGCGGTAATTAGCGGTTGTAATTTAACAAATTTTACCTTCTGAGTCGGAAAATGGGATGACATCGCAGGAAACATGATGTGTGATGTACGTATGTTGAACGTCTCTCGCACTGCATGTAGCCAGCCGTGCTAATCAGTGATGTTGTGACATCTCACGCACAATGACGTCACGGGGAGGCGCGCCCTTGACGTGTGATGTCATCATCTTGACGGAAAAAGCAAATCCTTTTGGCGCTGTTATTTTTATCACCAAACTTTGGGTAACCCCTTAAACCAGTTTGCTATGGGGTAAGTCTCTAATAGCGACACAGCTTTATGCTCACATTTCACCGACTGTATATTGGATAATTCATATGAGCGTTATTTTGACCACATGTCACAACAGATGGACAGGGAGGCAGACGAAGAGAGCTCACGTGTTAATGCTTTCAACCGTAGTCAGAAAGTATTTAAAATATGTCAATCCTGATTTGAAGCTTTCGTGACTGCAGGCATCCTTACTCTTTGGTTCTTTCGGTAAAGTCATCACGTAGGTAGAAAATGAATAGATAACGACGTTTTGATCGCAACACAAGCAACCGTCATCAGGTGAAACAAACACAGCAGGAGAAATGCTGACGTAGCAGTTCTCCTGCCAAAGAGTATTAAAATATGTCAGGTATGTACACACAGGTAAACAAAGAGAATAGGAATGCTGCCAAATATTCACTAAACAGGGTTGTTGTGATATCACTCCTGGCAATTATATGTAGATGTTTTTTTGTTAAAATAGTGGGGCATTCTACTCGGCTAGGATAAGGAGCTGTCTGATCACAAATTACAGAGTTCCCTCATTATTCGCGAGGGATACGTTCCGGAAATACTACTGAATTCCCAAATTTCGTGGATAGTGATATTAGCCTACGAAAACCTATCTTTGTAATGAATTTACATGAAATAAACTTCGATTTAAAGCTTTCGTGACTGCAAGGATTCATCTTCTTTGGTTCTTTCGGTAAAGTCACGTAGAATGAGAATAAAGTAATAAATTAATAAAATAATATAACAATAAAATTCTCACGAGGTTTCGGCCACAACACAAGTGGCCTTCTTCAGGTGAAAGGAACAGACCTGTCGGGACGACAGAGCTCTGTCGTCCCGTCCCTTTGATATTATTTTTTTACATTTCTAATTTGTTTGTACATTTTTGAGCTTTCAGCATGGTACGTGGGTCGAAAGGAATCAGCAGGGCTTGTTATTTCAGCATCCAATAGATGTCCTAACCCCATTATTTTTTTCAGAACACCACATGGGACATATGCCCCATTAGGTCAGTGCAGCTGTCACCTCATTGAAGATCCAAAATCTTACATCCTGCAGGTTTAGCAGAGCAACTAAAACGGAGCAGAATCTCCCACGCTTTGCATATATTATTTGCCTTGCAACCTAACAGACAGTTTTTTCTTTCGCTATGATAGTTTAGTTGGTAGCGATTGTGAGCGTGGTTTTTACACTGCGCTATGTACCCGGCCGCCTGAGTTTGATTTCCGCTTATGGTTGACATCAGTGGAGAGTGATATCCGAACAAATCCTGGGCCCCCCTTCAGCAATTCGGACTGGCCAGGGTGTTGATGAATGTACAAACAAATGCCCATGACCGACATAGCATGGGAATGCCTTCATCCAGCAGTGGATTGACAGTACCATACATTATTAGTATTTTACTGTTATTAGACTAAACACCACATGAATGCTTAAAAATGGAGTCAGGCATGTGCCATTCAAAATGTATTACCTTAATTTGTTCATGAATGCACAACATATGCTAAATATATAATCTGATTATTTATGCCCACCTCTGTTCAATGCATTAACTACTTTTGCAGATCTGAGAATATATATATTTGAAAATGGTCGTATGAAATGTAAGGACCAATACTACTTCCACTTACTCAAGAGTGTAACAAATTACATTTCAAACATAGTGCATATTTTTGTGTTATCACCAGCTCCTGTTATGGAAATCATGTCATGAAATGTATGGCTTTCAGCAACTTTATCTGTGACAGAACAACCTTGAAAGATGTCACTTCACGAGCCGCTCTTATGATACGATGCACAAGTGAATTGTTTATCACGTGTCAGTCCCCGAAAAACTATTTTAGAAGCTTAGCCTGAGTATAATTCAGTAAAATTTTATTTTAAAAAAACGAATATTCCAGTTTTTTTTTACTTTTGAAGTTGTTGGATACTGAGGTGAGGCCATCAGCTTGCGAAACTTAAGAACGTGGCCGAATCACCTTGACTGCCGATATGTTTCACCTTGACTGCCGATATGTTAAACGAAGATCCCAGCGGTATTATTGATGCTCTGGAATGGGT